TTGGACCTCTTTTGCCATTTGGGTTAGGCTATTTTTTAAAGTGTTATTTTCTTCAGTATTTTTTTGGGTGTCCTTTAGCAAGCTGTTGACTTGTTTTTCATGATTTTTCTTGAATCACTCTGATTTCTCTTCCCAGTTTTTCCTCTGCTTCCCTTACTTGCTTCTCAGAATCCCTTTTGAGCTCTTCAAGGCCTGGGACTGATTCATATTTTTCTTGGAGGCTTTGGATGTAGGAGCTTTGACTTCATTGTCTTCTTTTGGTTGTATATTTTGATCTTCTTTTTCACCAAAGTAAGATAATATAGTCTGACTCTTTTTGCACTGCTTGCTCATGATCCCGGCCAATTACTTGAGTTTTAAATAAACTCTTTGTTAAGGTAAGAGTCTGCTTCCAATGTGGAGAATGTACTGTCCCAAGCTTCAGGGGTTTGTACAGCTGTTTTCAGAGATACTTTTAGGGACCTGTAAATTTTCAGTTCTTCCAGGGTGGTATGATAAGAGGTGAGGTGTTTACTGCTTTCCTGGCCTGTGCTTTGGTCTATTAGTGACCACAAGCAGTCTTTTCTGTCTTGGAACTGTGAGGAGAATTTCTTCTCCACAGGCACTACAAGCTGCACTATGCCAGCGCTCCTTCTTGCCCCAGGACTGCCACCCAGAACTGTGACCCAGATCCAAGCACGGGCAAAGCAGGAGATTCCTGCCTCAGCACTGGCAAAGAGATCCCTGCAATCCCCCCTCTGATCAGCCACCTGATGATTCACCCTCAGTGTGTGGGCCGGAAGCTCAGGACGAAGTGCTTCCCTGGGCCATGCTTGCTCACTTGGGAACTGAGGCTGAGACCTAGCTCCTCTCTCACTGCAGAAACAGACTTTTCCCACTGACCTTCTAAGCTGTCTTTGGTGTTTGTGCGTTGAGAAGTCTGGAAACTGCCACAGCTGCCAGTGATTCAGTCCTCTGAGGTCTGCTCTAGGTTTGCTGTGACCTGTAAGCCCAGGCTGAACTTCGCTCCTCTCCCTGCCTGGCATGATATACTTTTCTGATCAACCATTTAGGTTGTCTTGGGCTGGAAATTTGCTTCACTCTGTCTTTCTGTGGGTTCTGCTGCTTTAGAATTTGTTTAGAGCCATTTTTTTACATGTATTTGAAGGGGTTTGGGGGAAAGCTCAAGCAAGTCACTGCTTTCACTCCGCCCTCTTGGCTCTGCCCCCCCATCTGATTATATTTAGCACATATATGGCAGACAGTCATGTGTCATGTCCTGATGTTCTGCTGACTGCAAAGTGCCGATTTTAAATTTCCATGATAATTTGTAATGAGTAATTCTAATGACAAAATAGGACATCAGAAACTCTGGGTATGTAGTATATCTAATTTGGAAAATATTATTAGATATATTATAATTTGTAAAGTTCAGTTTTACTATAAATCAGTCACATAATGAGAGTTTATACTAACAACTGATACTTAATGGCAGTTCATAAAATATTTTATATATTGTCATTTGACCCTCATAGAAACCCTGTGTGGTATTATTAGAAAAATTGTCCCCAGTTTTACAGATGAGGAAACTGAGGCTCAGAGTAGTTATGTGACATGGCCAAGTCCAATCTGTTAGTGGTAGAGCCTCAGTGCAGATTATCTAATCCCAAAACCAAACTCATTTGTATTATACTACCTCCTAGATTTGTAGACCGTTCTGTTTATACAGCAGCATCTGAAAGATACAAAGGGGTAAATTGATATTCAAAGATTTTTTTTCCTTAATTTCAAGTGAAAAAAAAACTAAATGAAACTTGTTCTAGCCACTGGTTCCATATAGTTTCAACAGAAACTGTAAATATTTGGATACAGGCTTCAATTGAGAAGACTGTGGTTGGGCTTTTTATGTAGCTGAAGGAACCAAGCATATCATTTATCTTACTGCTTAATAGAACCACTTGAGTTTTACTCCAGGGATTACTACAAGTGTGTGAGTCATACCAGCACTGTTTTTGTACTCAAAAGTTACTAGCTGTGTGGGCAAATCATTTTCCTCTTTTACAAAATAGGGATAATAATGGTTGCACTAGTATTTAACCTTACTTCAGGGGTTTTTTTTTTGAGGCAGAAGCTCTGGGCATGTTTCTAGGCACCAGAAAAAGGAGTCAATGGATAAGGAGAGATTTCAGATGAGAGAGGAAATAATTGAAGGGGCATTCTCCCAAAGAGAGTAAGTGGGAATGGAATCAAGGGCAGAAATAGGAGATCTGGATTGGAACAGAAGAGAGAATTGGGGAAAATAGTGAGGGGATCGAAGGTTGCTTTTAGGGAAAAGATGGTGAGGCTAAGTTCTTTGCCCAGTACAAGAAGAGGAGTGGAACAGAGTCTGTAGTGCATCTATATAATAAGCAATAAATATTTTGTTCACTCAGAAGTCAGTTTGTGGGGCATGCAATAGTCAGGGAAGTATAAAAAGATTGAGGTATGGCACTCAGCACCCTGTGGAGATTAGAAAAAAACATTTTTTCCCCAAATTCTATTCAATACGAAACATATCTCTACAGTTTTTATTGAGGAGGTTGACCACATCCACGACCAAATCCACCTCTAAATTGGAATTCTGTTGCTGACCCAGCCCCAGCCCCAGCCTCAGCCTTCTTGTCAGCACCAGGGGGAGCAGCACTTCGTCTGTATGTGTCTCTGTCAGCTTCACCTCGAGTAAGCCGGGCAGGTTGCTCACCCTTCAGACCTTTGGGCCTTGGTCTTCCTGTCTCGGGATGACTTCTGCGGAGCATGGCAGGCAGGATCTCAGGGGTCAGGTGAAGGTAATCCCGGAGGTACTGAATGCCCTCATTGGTGAGGTAACAGTAGAAATGCCTCCATGGAAACTGCTCCTTAACATAGCCATGAGACTTTAGAGACTGCATGGCCTTCAGGACATGGAGATTGGGCACATTCTTGTCTGTCAGCTCAGGGTGCTTTGGCATGTGGACATCCTTCTTGGCTACCAATACTCCCTCCTTAAAAAGGAGTTCATAGATGGCAATTTGGTTCTTCTTGGGCATCAACATCTCGGCGGCTGTGATGGGTGCTGCTCTACACGGAGCTTGGGATAGAAAGTCTAGAAAAAATTAGTTTGTGGACCAAATCAGCATAATTGTGAATCTTTCAGGGACTTTAAACAGCAAGATAATCTAGGTTTGGGGTTGGAAAAGGGGGAAGGGATTCAAGGATAGGGGAAAATTTAAAATCAAACTGGTTTAAGATTTCAAAGGGAGGAAAATCAGGCCAGAGCATGAGTGAATGCCTGGGAAAATGGAGTGGAGCATCAAGTTGCAGGGAGAATGGAGAAGAGATTTAGGAGGGAGAGATAGAAAGATAGGAAAGGGTGGTTAAAGTGGGATTTCAGAGTTCCAGATCATGCAGGTGGAACGTACAAAGGGTACGTGTGTGGCTGGTGTGGAGTAAGAGTTCAGTAAGGCTAACGAACTGGGAAGGAAAGGTGTTTGAGGGGACATGAGCATTTATATTGACATCCTTGAGGTAAGGGTTGGAAGTAGAGACTGTAAGCCCCCAGAGCTGAACTTTTTCAGAAGGGGGAGGGGATAACCTGGGGGCTACAGATAGCTTCCCCCAGGATCTGGATAGGGTTATACCTACTTTGAAGAAGGTGATGGTGGTAGGAAAGTCTGGAAATGGCAATGAAGAACATAAAAATATTCTGAGTATACTTTTATTTTGTACCAGTTAAGGAAAAGAATGAATGCTTTAAAATTGAAGAGGGATAGAGCACCAATAAGGTATTGTAAAAAAGATGAATTGAATTATGAATGGGAACAAATGAGAAGCTTCAGATGATCATGTAAAGCAAATAATTTAATGAATTAACAGGTAATCACTTTAACCATTTTGTATAATTTGCACGAACTAAGTATTACATATTAAGGCACAGTAAATATATTGTACACAAAGTTAGGACAAAGATCTGCCTGATCATGGTGAAGGTAGTACAAAAAGACAGTTGTGGATATTTCAGATTTTAACATTGAAAGCTAACACACACATAATTTTAAAATTATAGTTCAGTTGCTAGCTTTAGCCAATAGGGGAAACATTTGATGAGTTATGGTATAAAGTATAAGTTTAGGGAGTAGGGAAAATGGGAGAGGCTAGATGAAATGCAGAAATCACTGAAATGAAACAGGTAGGTTAGGTGGTACTTTAGAAGAAATCACTACCCTACAACCCGGACTTCAGTGGAAAATTTATTTTTGAAAGAAAGGAATTGTTAAATATAAAGTTAATGTTTACTACTTATCTGCTATGAGCATGCTTTTGGAAAATTATTTTGTCTATAATCTAAGCTTTTTAGAGGTTTATAAATTATAAAATGGTAAAAGGCTTGGGGCAAAGGGTTTAGATATCAGTTCTTGATTTTTCCTTTACTCTATTAAAACCTACTTTAAAAAGATGCAAATTGAGGACAATTTGAAAATAGGGATAAAAATTTGATTCCTTCTTCAGATTTCTTTTTCAAATTGTAACTCCAGTGTATGCTTTGTGCCAACACATCAGGAAAGCGGGGCAGCTAGGTGGTTGGAGTGGATAGAGTCAGACTCTTCTTCCTGAATTCAAATCTGGCCTCAGACACTACCTGTGTGACCCTGGGCAGGTCACTTGATTTTGTTTGCCTTAGTTTCCTCAACTGTAAAATGAGCTGGAGAAGGAAATGGTAAACCAGTATCTTTGTCAAGAAAATCCCAAATGGGGTCAAAAACAGTTGGACACAACTGAAAAGGACTGAACAACAACGAAGAGCAGGTTTTCACAGCAGATTTAAGAGATCTACATTAAAGTTGTTTTGAATGTACACACTTATTTAAATTGAAGATTGAATGTTTGGTTAATTTTGTTTAGATATCTTTTTAACAATCATCCCTCATTTCTGAAAGCTTTGGTCAGTTTTTGTGTGTGATCCTAACTGGGTTTTAAATGCAGCCTTCTAAATCATACCACTTGTGTTTTTTTCCTACCTTTGCAATGCTTGAATTTACAAATGACCACTACTTTACCACCATGCCCATACTGATTTATGTACATCTGAGCACATTTCCAAAAGTGACTTATACGCATAAGGTTTGTAGATAACATGGTGAGTGATGGAATGAGCATGCTAGTTACTGATCACTTAATTTTATCTACTAGAAAATGAAGAATGATAAAGGCAAAAAACTTCATTGCCAAAAGTAGGAATCTTTCTGAGCAATTTTTATATGCTTGTAATTTGAGCATGTATGCGCTCATTGTAAATTATTCAGTTGAAACTGAAAATGAGTCAAAATTTGATTTAGTCCCTAATTCTACTATTAAGAAAAAGTCAAGATTAAGGAGGTTTAAACAAGCTGAAATTACTCTCATCTTAAAACCTAATTTGGGAAGAATGGAAATGAACAGTTTCATTGTAACCAAAACATTATTTTCCATGACTAATGAATACGAATTTTTCTAAACAAGAAAAAAATGCTTTCCATCTTGTTCTAAGATCAAATTTTAGGTGCTGATGAAATTCACTCTAATAGTATATAAGCCAGAGTTAATATAAACATGGTTACAAATTAGAAAACATTTTAAAAAATCCTGTTTTGTTTCAAAAATTTAGAAATATTAGTTTAATCCCCCATATACCTTGCCCAGTGTCAAACATAAAATGACATGTTTTCATTCTGACATTTTGACAAAAGATCTTTTACTGCTTTTATATAGGAGATTTAAGCTTTAGCCTAGTTTTCTGATGCCTGTAGTCAGTTTGAAAGAAAACTGCTGTTTACTAGATAGACTTTGGATTCTTTAAGAGACACTCTAGAACTACTGAAGGGTAATTGCCCCTTTCAACAAAATTTTAAATATAAATAAGTTTCACTGTAAGTTTCCTTAAGTTAAAAAAAAATACCCTGGAGTTTGAAATTTGCTAAGTCGTTTTATTCTAAGTTATGGCTAACAGGGGTTAGACTTTGTTTATTTTCCATAATTACTTTACAGTCTCCATCCATTTCAAAATTACGGTTAACAAAAGAATTTGATGCCACAGCTTCTGGCTGGTCTGTCTGAACAGTGGAGTCAGCCTGGAGCTTCTGCTGCTGCTCCTGATACTGTCTTTCTGCCTCTTCAGACAATCGATTTTCTTCTTCTTCCTCTTCCTCCTAAAAAGAGATTAAATGCATGGAAATTTAATGGTGAGATGTTTTCTCTTAATCAAGTAGGTCAAGAATAAAAACTCATATGGATTAGAAAAAGAAATTACTTCAGCTGGGGTTATCTAGAAAGGTACTTTAGAGCAGGGAATATTTAAGCTGGGCCTTGGAGGATTCATTCAGCAATCATTTATTATATACTTACATGCAAAGCATTGGGCCAGGCAACATAGACCCTACCTTCATGGAGTAGTCTTACTCCAGGGGACATAAACATTCATGTAGTCACATTTGTGTAAGAAAGATAAAAAATATTATGTGAGGTCAAAGGACCTCCAAGATTTTAGCTGTGTGACCCTAGGCAAGTCACTCACTTTTCTCAGTTAACCTGTAAAACATGGATAATAATAGCACCTACCTTCAGGATTGTTGTCAGGATCAAATGAGAAAATATTTGTAAAGTGTTTAGCACAATGCTAGGCACACAGTAGTTGATTAATAAATGTTTGTTCCTTTTCTACAAAGGGAAATTCCCAGTTTGGTTCAGGGAAAGTTTCAGTCCACTCCAGGGACTCCCTGTTGCTTCTAGTTTCAAATATAAATTTCTGTTTATGTTTTAAAACCTTTTCACAACCTTGGCCCTACCTCAGTGGACATTATTCCACACTCTTTGATCTGGCCAAACTGGCCTCTGTTTTTGTAACAGGACTATAAATACCTTTCTTCCTCACCTCTGCCTTACAGTATTCCTTTCTTCAAGACACAGTCCAAGCACTATCCTACATGAAGCCTTTCTGATTCTCACTCTCGGCTGCTACTGCCCTCCCTTCCAAACTACTTTGTAGTTAACCACTTTCTATTTTTTTGCGCTTATTCTGTGTATACTTCTAAAGGAAGTCTGTCTCTCCATGAGCATGTAAGAGAATGACACGAACAAATATGAAAAACAATGTATGATGGAATCTAGGATGTCTGGAGCATGGTGAACATGAACGGTAGGAGGAGGAGAAATGACTAGAAAGACAGATTTGTGTCTAGATTGTGAAGAGTCTTGAAAGCCAGGCTAAGGACACTGGACTTCATCTGGTATGTGAGAGAGTACTAATGATAGAAGGGAGTAAAATAATCAGACTTATACACCAGGAAGAATAATCTAGCAGTAACTGAAGAGTACACGTGTACTCCAGGACAGCAATATGAAGTAGGAAGGGGACAGATTCCAGACATAACAAAAAGCAATCGACAGCATTTAGTAAATGACTGGAGGAGGTGAGGGAGAGAAACGAATAATTTGGAGACATTAAAAAAAAAAAGAACAAAAACCAAGAAATCTTCAGTATAGTATTGAGTGTATATTACTGTGTGACAAGTTCCATGTCAGGTACTGGAATCAAAGGGTATTCAGTTTTGTAGGGAAAATTCTGAATATACTTTTCTCATGTGAATGGCAATAGTAGCACTCTTACAGACAAATGATAATAAAAGATTGGAGCTAGGAAGAAACTAGGAAAAGACTAGCTAGGAAGAGCTAGTCAGCAGCAATGGCAATACAGAATAAGGAATCATTAACTGTCAGGTTAGGGTGATTTCGGAGGAATGAGATTGTAAAATTAAGAACACAGAGATGAGAGAAGGCCAAGGAGAGAACCTAGTGAAACACTTGCCTTAAAGGACAAGAAAAGGCACCAGTTAAGGAGACTGAGAGAGCAGTTGTAGAAGTAGAAAAAGAAGTAGGACCAAATATATCACAGGAATCAAGGGAGGATAGAATATGAATGAGGAGAAAGTGATCAATTTAAATACTACATACAATTGATTGAGAAGTGCTGGGAAAAGGCAAGTCATTTCTGTAGAATGGTGAGGATGTTTGTGAATAATTTGTAAGGAGGAAGAATTCAGTGTAATTTTTTTTTGAAGAAGTTTGGTGGAGAGTGGTAAGAATCAATAATCATTTATTAAGCATTTACAGGTACTGTGTGAAGCACTGGGGATACACAGAAAAATAAAAAAAAAGTCTCTACCTTCAATGTGTGTGTGTACATAATCAGTAAATAAAAGGTAAATAGAGAGTAGATGGAAAGTAGCCCTAATAGAATGTTCAAAGGGTTTTTTTTTTTTGTAAATGAATGGGAAGGCTTATAGACAGATGGAAAAGAACCAGTGAAAAGAAAGAGATTACTGGAACCATGGGTACAAGGTAAGGTAATAGGGAGAAGAAAATAGGGGGGTATGATACCCATCTTCAATTATTAGAAAGGCTGCCATATGGAAGAGTATTAGACTTCCACTTGGCCCCAGGAAGCAGAACTTTGGAGCGATAGATGGAAATTACAAAGAAGCAAAGCTAGGCATAAGATAAGGAACAAAGTCCCAATAACCAATTAACCAAAGGTGCAATAGGTTGGCTCTGGAGACATGGGCTCCTTTACTTTGGAAGTCTTCAAACAAAAACTAAAGTAATCAAAATATTTAATTAAGTATCTGCTAACAAAAACAATAACTAGCATTTAAAGAGTGCTTTAAGACTTACAGAGCAATTTGTAAGTTATCTCATTTGATTCTCACAACAGCCCAGTGCAGTAGGTGCTATTATTATCATCTTTTTTTGGTTGTTAGTCCTTTTTCAGTCTTGTCCAACTCTTTGTGACCCCATTTGGGGTTTCTTGGCAAACATTTGCAAAAGATTGGCAAAGAGTGATTTGCCATTTCCTTCTCTAGTTCATTCTACAGATACGGAAACTGAAGGTTAAGTGACTTGCCTAAAGTCATACAGCTAGTATCTGAGACCAGATTTTAACTCAGGGAGATGAATCTTTCTGACCCCAGGCTTGGCACTCTATCCATTGCCCCACTTAGCTGTCCCATCTTCATTTTATACTTTTTTAAAACAGGAATTATATTAAGCTTTCATTTATATTTTAATGTGATAGGGAGAATTTTGCTGGGCTCTATGGTGATGTTCTCTAGTAGCCACCTCTTCTTTTTTTTTTCTTAAGGCAGTTGGGGTTAAGTGACTGGCCCAGGGTCATACAGCTAGTAAATGTCAAGTGTTTGGTCTAAGGTTGGATTTGAACTTAGGTCCTCCTGACTTTAGGGCTGGTGCTCTATCCACTGTGCTACCTAGCTGCCCCCAGCCTCTTCATCATCATCATCATCATCATCATCATTTCTCTGACAAGCTATTCTCTCTGCTTCTCGGCACATTTCCTCATGTTTTTGTCTCCTAAGTTCTACAGGCCAATAAAATCATCCATGGTGTATATTCAGGTTTGGGGAGAACAGATAAGGAAACTGAAGAAAATGAAGTTAAGTGATGTGACCTGGGTGAAAGAGGTAGTAGTAAGCATCTGAAACAGAATTTGAATCCTTCTGATTCCAAATCCAGCACTTATCTAGTGTACCACTTAGCAGGCATTATATTCAAAGACAAAAGTGAAACAGTCCCTTTCTTCAAGTGCTTTTCAAGGAAAGAAACAGATATAGAAAGAATGTAAAATATAACAGGTCAACTTACTACTCCTGCCCTTCAGCCAAAGCCAATAGGCAAGATCAGACCAGAGTAAGAACACTGTACCCACTAGCCTTCATTATGAAAGCTCCTCCCATCCACTGATAATGTGTGGAGTCATTCCTGAATGTTAGCAATCTCTCTGTTTCCTACTCTACCAATTCCTGCTGAGGAACAAACTCCTGCTCTCTAAGCCCTGTTGCTCCTGCTCTCATACCCACCTACCTCACCCCTATTGCACTGTCACCATATCTGAGCTGCCCCTTCCACTGTGGTCTCTGGAACTCACAATTAAGAGATTTCTCTCCATTTTTTTTAAAACCATGCTCCTTCCATGTTCTGCATCTCACTGCATTCCTGTTGTCCTTTTCCAATAGTAAAAGTACCTTCACTCCCTGAACAGTTCCAGAAGGGGAGCTGTCCCCACTGCCACTTCCAGACTCTCTCAACAAATATTATTCAATAGTCTCTCCTTTCCTTTAAAATTCACTCTCTCCCAATTTATTACCCAATCCAGTTCTTGGTGGCTGTTATATGCTTGATGCCTGGCTCATTCTCCCTTTTTCCACTGTAACTCCTGCCCTCATACTAAGGGACTCCTTCACCCGAAAATGTTCCACTTTCTTGATGGGAAAAAAAGGGCATCTCACTTGTACTAGGAACTCTATCCTAAAGTTCTTGATTTCTTTTTCAGACCCAGACCTGTATTTTCATGCTTTGACCAGAATTTCACTCTGAACTATTCAGAATCTATTCTGTGATTTATAGCCATCATGGGAGCTTGGTGGATATTTACATAGAGCTCTAGGCTTACAAGGCACCACTTACTCTCTTGAACTGGCCTCTGAGTATTCTAAAGTTTGCCCTTCTCCGATATACATGTAAAGAAGCAGCATAATATAGAAGAGAAGAGCATTGTCACTGAAGTCAAAGACATGGCTTTGAATTCTGCCTTTGATACTTACTAGTTATGTAACTAGAGACAGGTCACTTGACTTTGCCACACTCTATGCCTTTCTTCTTGCTGTTTCTTACATATGGTATGATGTATTTGTACAGGCTGTCTCCTCTATGCCCCCACCCCTCAGCCTGGAATGCACTTTTTCCTCACCTGTGCTTTCTGCATTCCTTGTTTCTTTTAAACTCAGTTTAAATGTCATCTTACATATGAAGCCTTTTCTGATCCCCATTCCCAAGCTGCTAGTGTCCCTCCCAATTACTTTGTATTTATATTGTATATATATTTACATTACTTTATATTTAAATTGTATATAATTATATGTGTATATATTGTCTCCTCTGATAAAATGTAAGCTATTTTAGGGGACAGACTGCTTCATTTTTGTGTTTGTATCATTAGTACCTATCATGGTTCCTAGTATGTGGTAAGTACTTTGTTGATTGACCTCTCTGAAGCTCATTCTCTTCATCTGTAAAATAGGGATAAAAATACCTATAATATTTACCTCAAAGGTTGTGTGTCTTTTGGTAAAATGTAGGTTAAATAGATAATTTATGTTCATATAAACCTTGGATAAAAAAAAATATCAGCAGTAAAGAGAGACATACCTCTTTCTTCATCCGGTAATATTCATCAATGGCATACTGGTACTTTGGGGTGCTGATACCCATAAGTGACGCAATCTTCTCTCCAAGAAAGTCACACACTGAGGGTACAAAGTTAAAATAATAAAGAATTCTAAATAAAAACTTGAATTTACAGTATTTAATTTTTAATTCAACAAACATTTACTAATTATTGACTGCACAGAGTGGTAAATTGGGTGGAAAGGGAAGTAAAAAGCTTAAATAGGACAACTCTACCCACATGGAATTTATTTTCTAGTATGAATACAAGGTAAGTGGAAGAGGTAGCATTTGAGTTTTTATTTAGGTGATTGGTAGGGATTCAGTAAGTGGAGGGATGAGGAAGGAATACTAGGTAGGAGAAAATGTTGTTCCAGGGATAACTAGCAATCCATTTTGGCTGCAGTGTTCCCTAATAGGGAACATGTCTGAGCAGAGAAATAGCATGGATCACAAGACTTCAAGCTAAAAGAAACCTTTGCTCATTTATCTTAGCACCTTTATTTTATAGATTAGGAGACTAAGGCCCAGGCAAGATTAGATTTATATTTAAGGAAAATTTTGGCAGCAGTGTGAAAGATGGGTGGAATGGGGAGAATAGAGGCAGGAAATTATATTAAGAGGCTATTGCTATACAGTCTAGTTGGGTGGTAATAAGGACCTATACTAGACTGCTGTCAGTACCAAATAGAAAGGAGGGAGTAGAGGGGATTAAATCCTTAGGATTTTATAACTAGAAATAAGAGGTGGAAGGAGAAACAAAGATAAGAGGAGTTTTGAACATTGGAGACCAGGTAGCACCATTGATTAAGAAGGAAAAATAGGTTTGAGGTATGATGAAGTTGAGATGTTAATAGGACATGCAGGGGAACATGTTGTGGAGAGAGTGGGAAATATAAACCTCCATGAAGCTTGGGAGAGAGATTACTGGTAGATATTTAGGAGTCATCTGCATGGAAGTGATGTTACATGAAGTCATTAGAATGAATGAGATTACTAAGGGGGTGAAAATATAGTGACTGTATAGAAAAGGGCCAGAATAGAACCTTGGAAAAACCTTACCTTAAGGAGTAGCAAGAGGCTAAAGAATCAATGAAAGAAAACAAAAAAAAGGAACAGATGCGAAAATATGAATAGAACCAGAAGAATGTATTATCATGGAAGTGAAGGGAAAAGGCAATATCGGAAAGGAAGGGATAGTCATCAGTTGTCAAATGCAGAGAAATCAAAGAAAGTATTTCAAAATGATCACTTTTCTAACCTTTTCTTGATTTAAATGTAATGTCAATGAAATATAATAGCTGTTAAGCAAGTATAAAGTGAATATAATTTGAATCCAGGAAGAGAAAAACAATAAGAAGAGCAGTAGGGTCAAAATCCAATAAAAAGCAGGTAAGGTTCATAAATGGAATGCCAAATGGATATTATAGTACTTTATGATTCTATAGGCCAATTTAAAAAAAATACAATTAAACAAGCACTTATTAAATACATACTATGTACAAAGCAAGATGCTGGGAATGCAACAACAAAACAAAGCCATCCCTGCCCTCAAATGACTTTGTGTCCAATAGGAGATTGGGGGAGGAGACATAGAAAGTACACAAAAAGCAATACAAAATAATTAGAAGGAGGTAGGGAACACTAACAGCCAGGTGAAGTCTGTAGCATATTAAGATCCTTATATGAGGAAAAAGTACATTCCTGGCATGGGGACCAGGTCATGCAAAGGCTCCAAGATCAAAACAGACTTCTGTATGTGGGAAGAGTGAGGAGGCCAAGATAGTTAGGATATAGATTGCTTGAGGGAGAGCTTGATGGAGAGACAGCTTTTTCCAAAACAAAGTTTGGAAAAGAAGGCTGGAGCCAGACTGTGAAGGGCTTTAACTGCCAAGCTGGGCATTTCTTATTTTACTCTAGTGGAAATGGAAGTCACTAAGGTTCTTAGGGAGGAGTAAGTTTTAGGAATATCAGTTGGCCATTGTGTGCATGATGGACTGGAGAGAGGAGAGATCAGAACCAGGGAAACCAACAAATCAAGAAACATTTATTAATCGTCTACTGTGTGCCAAACATTGGGCACAATTTAACAAAAGTTAAAATTGTCTCTGCCTTCAAGGAACTCACATTCTACTGAACCAATTAGAAGGAATACTCCAGCTGAGATAAAAAAACAGAAAAACAGATCAGCAGGTCAGCCCTAGACAAGCAAAGAACAGAAATTGTATAGAACAGAAGCCTAGTTTTTGGTAAAACCAAGAGCCTCAGTTAATAAAAGGACTGCCTTTTTGATAAGAACTCTTAGGGAAAAAAAGCAGGTTGGCAGAAATTAATTTAGACCAAGCACACCACATGCCAGTATATATATATCAAAATGGTTATATGACCTAACTATAATACATTATATCACAAAAACATCAGAAGAGAATACAATCATGTAACTCATAATAGGGCTAGGAGTAGAATTCTTAAACCAATTAGGGATAGAAGAGATCATAAAAGCTAAAATACATAATGTTTAAAAGTGTTTAATATAAAGATGGAATTAGAAGAGAAATGAAAAAATAGAAAAATATTTGCAATCATATATAGCTGAGGAAACTGATCCAAACTATATAGAAAACTGACAAGAAAACATCAAGAGACATTACCCAATACATAAGTGGTTAAAGGATATGAACAGTTTTCAAAATAAGTGCAAACTATAAATTCCCACATGAAAACAAGTTATAAATCACTAAGAGTAAGATAAACATAAACTAAAACAACTTTGAAGTCTTACCTCACACCAAGCTAATTGGCAAAGATGACCAAAAAATGACAATAGTCGCTAATGGAAGGGCTATGAGAGGTGAGGAACATGAATGTACTGTTTCTAGAGCTATGAAATAGTTTTGGACAACAGTTAGAAATTATGCAAAGGGATTAAACTTTGCATAACCAACAATCTTACCATTCTATTGGGGAAATGTCCCAAAGATAAAAAACGCACACCTATCAGATTGGCTAACATGACAAAGCAGGAATATGATAAATGTTGGAGAAGATGTGGGAAAATTGGAACACCAGTGCACTGTTGGTCAATTGTGAATTGTTCCAACCATTCTGGAGAGCAACTTGGAACTATGCACAAAAGGGTAAAAACTGACCCAGCAATAGCACTTCTAGGGCTGTATCCCAAAGAGATCATAAAAATGGGAAAAGAACCCACATGTACAAAAATATTTATAGCAGCTATTTTTGTGGTGGCAAAGAATTGGAAATTGAGGGGATGTCCATTAATTGGGGAATGGCTGAACAAGTTGTGGTACATGAATGTAATGGAATACTATTGTGCTGTAAGAAATGATGAGCAGGTGGACTTTAGAAAAACCTGGAAAGACTTGCATGAATTGATACAGAGAGAAATGAGCAGAACCAGGAGAACATTGTACATAGTAATGGCCACATTATGGGATAACTGACTGTGACAGACTTGGCTCTTCACAGCAATGCAAGAGTCTAAGACAACTCCAAAAGATTCATGATGGAAATTGCTATCCACACTCAGAGAAAGAAATATGTAGTCTGAATGCAGATGAAATCATACCACTTGCTCTTCTTTTCTTTTCTTTTGTTTTATTGCTTCATTTTCATGGTTCGTCATATTAGTTCTAATTCTTCTTTACATCTGATTAATAGGAAATATGCTTAATATAAATGTATAAGTAGAGCCTATATCAGATTGTATGCTGTCTTGGGGAGGGGGAAGGAAAGGGAAGGGGAGAAAATTTAAAATTCAAAATCTTATGGAAGTGAATGTTGAAAAATAAAAATAAAAAAATTCTTAAGAAAAGAAACAAAAGATACAAAAAAGAAATAAAAAACAGAAACAAAAATCTAATACATATTAAAATATTAATAGTAGCACTCTGTGATAGCAAAGAACTGTATAAAAAGTGGGTACCAATCCTTAGGAAATTACTAGAAAGCTATGAGATAATAATTGAAATGGAATATCATTATGTAATAAGAAATGATGAATAATAAAAATTCAGAGAAACATGGGAAGATTTTTTTTAAAGCATATTTCCACATTAGCCATGTTATGAAAGGAGAATTAGAACAAAAGGGAAAAACCATGGGAAAGAACAAACAAAAAAAAAGGGAGAGAAAATAGTATGCTTTGATCTGCACAGAAGACTTTTCAAAATGACACAAAGAAAAATAAGCAACACCAAGAAAGTAATATATATAACCACCAGAATAAATGGAAATATCTGTAAATCAAATTGTATTCTGAATAACTGAAAAATCAATAAAGATCTCAGAGTCACATAATGAGATATAGGTCCCTCAATCCCCCATTATGGCAGAGAGGTGGGAAGTTACTAAGACATAATATTGTATAAATTTTTAGATACAATCAGTATTTTGGGTGTACTTGCTTAATTGTTTTTCTTTGTCACAAGAAAGGGTTGACAGGTGATATGTTAAGGCAGGGGGCAGCAATAAAACATTCCAATGAATCCAAGCAAGAGGCTATAAGGGTCTGCATGAGGTTGGTGCCCATATGAGTTGAGAGATGAAGAGAGATGCAAGAAATATTGCAGGCACAGAATTAACAAGATGTAGCAACTGATTAGATGTAGAGAAGTGTGGAAATGTGAAAAATGACTCCACTGAGTGAATAGAAGAAAACAAGAGAAGTCTGTAGGAAGCGCAGGTTTAGGGAGTAGAGAAGATGTTGATTTTGAGATGCCTATGGGACCATCTAGGTAGAGATGTCAATCAATCAACAAGCATTTATTAATTGCCTACTGTGTTCCAAGCACTGGAGATTCAAAGACAAAATGAAACAGTCCTTGTCTTCAGAGAATAGTTGACAGTTGATGATGCAGGACTAGAATTCAGGAGAGTGATCAATATTGTATACATAATTTGGGGAGTCATCTTCATAGAGATAGTAACTGAACCTATGAGAGTTAATGAGATCACCAAAATGGAGAGTTTGGAAAAAAAAGTCAAGAGGGCCCTGAACAGAGTCCGATTCTTTCTACAAATATTTGAGATCAAAGAACAAAATATGGATGATGGTTTAGCAAATCAGAATGAGAAGGAACATTTGGAAAGGAAGGAAGAGGACCAAAGGGGTAACAATGTCATGAAAGCCGAGGAAAGAGAAAATATTCAGGAGGAGACAGTCAATTATGGCAAAAGTAACTCAGAGGACAAAAAGAATAAGGATTAAGAAAAAGCAAGCAGATTTAACCATTAAAACATCATTGGAAAATGAGGAAGTGATGGGTGAGATAGAGGTATAGTTTAGTATTTTAAAGCTGTGAAAACAATAGGTAGGAGCTAGAGAAGGGTTGTTTTGCTTACATTCCCTTCCTTCCTTCACTCTCCTGTATTGTAGTTTACTAAATCAATGCTGCTATGTCACCTGCTATTTGCAGTACTAAAATATTAAAGCAATACCTGAAAGTGTTGATGTGGCAGCACGAAGCAAGTAAAACCATAAGTAGGGACCCCAGGTAAGTTTTGTCTGCAACAGCAAGAAGTCAAAATAATTTGTAGCAACATTCAACATTGTAACATTGTTACTGTGTATATACAACTGGCAAGTCCAAATTAATCACACTTAAGTGGACAGAATATAGAACCATATTGTCTAAAATTTCAGCAAGTTTCTAGAAAGCTTTTTGGAGAGAATTCCAAAGAGAACATTTTACAACTACAAGCACTTGAAAGGAACTCAAAAAATAAACTATTATTTGCACAGCAGAGTCAGAGTGGAAAAAAGCCAACTCTTCCTTTAAATTCAGATAGTGCCCTGCCCCCCCCCCCATACTCCCAACTCAATTATTCAGTGACTGAGTTTTAATTATTTATATCTAGACCAGGGCTTCTTAAACTTTTTCCTCTGGCAACCCATTCAGCGCTTCTTAAACTGTGGGTGTCGACAATTCCTTCTTAACCATTGTACCTGCCTTTCGGTCATTTCATTGTTTTTAGGTAGCCAGAGAAGCACAAGTTTAGAAATGGAAAGAACCTTGAGAGTTAAGTTAAATCAAGTCAGCAACCATTTATTGAATGCCTACTATGTGCCAGGCATTGAGCTAAGTGTTGAGTTTACAAAGAAAGGAAAAAATAGTTCCTGCTCTCAAAAGGAGCTCAATGGTGGAGATAACATGTAAACAACCACGCACAAACAAGGCATATACAGGATAAAATGGAGATAATCTCCAGAGGGAAGGCACAAACATTACAGAGGACCCAGGAAAACTTTTTGCAGAACATGGAACTTCAGTTAAGACTTGAAGGAAGTCAAGGAAAACAGGAGATACAAGTAAGAAGGGAGAGAATTCCAGGCATGATATCAGGTAGTTGAAACTTCTCATTATATAGATTAGAAAAACTGAAGTCCATATATGGGGGGTTTCTTCTCATCATTGCCATCTTTGGACTATCAGCCCAGTAATGGAGTCTCTGGTTCAAAAGGTACAAACATTTTAGTCATTTCATTTGCATAATTCCAAACTGTTTTCCAAAATGGCTGTACTATTTCACAGCTGCACCAACAATGTATTAGTGTACCTATCATCCCACAACCCCTCCATTATTATCATCATTTTTGCCTTATTTGCAGGGTGTGAAGTAAAACCTTAGGGTTATTTTTTATTTGTATTTCTCTAATTATTAATGATTTAGAGCATTCTTTCATGTGGCTGTGAATACTCTGCAATTCTTTTGAGATCTGTTCACATTCTTTGACCATTTATTGATTGGCAAATTATTAGTCTTATATATTTTTACTGTTCATATATCTTGGCCAACAAAAACTTTTAGAGAAATTTGATACAAAGATTTTTACCATTTGATTACTTTTCTTATCCTAGGTACATTTATATTGTCTATGCAGAAGCTTTTCAGTTTCAAGTAATCAAAGTTCAATTTTTTTTCTTTTGCCTCTAATTTGGTTAAAAGTACATCTCTCAACCACAGGTGTGAGAGGTACATGATCTATTTCTCTTCTAATTTTTTTCTTGTATATCAAATAGTATACTATAATCTAGTATATTATTAAATATATTGTGGAATATGGTATAAGGTATTGACTTATGCCTAAGTTTCTGTCCGACTGCTTTCCAGTTTTTACAAAATGGTTTTTTTCAATGGTTTTCCTGAGACACCTAGTTGCTAATGTTTGTAACATCAAGGTTTTAAACCTTTATGACTGGAAAGATGGCATTAGCTTCAAGAAAAATAGGGAAGCTGGGAAAAGGGATAGGTTCAGGGAAAAAGACGAGTTCTGTTTTAGATGTGATGACTTTGAGATGTCTACAGGATACCCAGTTCTAAATGATCGCTAGACAGTTGGTAATAGAGAACTGGTACTCAGAAGACAGATGAGAGATAGATATATAGATCTGGGAGTCATATGCATAGAGGTAATTGAGTCTGTGGTTTCAAATAATGAGATTGTAGGGAGATGAAAAAAAGGACCCAAGACAGAAAAGCCCACAGTTAAAAGGTAGGGGAAGCACCTATATGTGCATGCACACACACACACACACACACACACACACACACACACACACACACACACACACACACACACACACATATATATCAGAAATATGTTGAAAAACTAGGTCTTTTTTTCAGTAAGTTTGGAGTCACTATAATAACTTTGTAATTTCCTAAAGATGAACCTATTCAATTTTGGGCTCATCTCACTGTCTACACAAAGTATTTATTTAAGAAAAATATGCCGATGGATGAACTCTCTACGTTAATCAATCCAACTTCACATCATTATTTGGACATTAGACATTCTTCATCCACTTGGTTTTTCTTCTGAGGATAGTTAGACCAAATTCTTTCAAGTGATTATAAATTTCATTTAGAAGGCTCTGAGATAGTTCAAGCTTTATATAATCAATACAATAATTTACACAAACAAGAACATCAAGAGTACTTCACCATCTATGGGAAATTCCTTTTTGACTTGGACTGCTCTTCACCTCTATAACAGTGGTAAACACCTATGGCAGACATTTATTTCTGTTTTATGCCTCAACTGATGTTAACAACCATAGGATTGGGCAAAGTTTTCTCTTATATAGTTTAAGGAATCTTGCATAACTGATATGTGTGGGAGAGATGTTGGAAGAGTGATTTTAAGGTAGCACTTCATTCTACTAAATCAGCTGCTCTTTTATAATCAACAAATTACAGATAATGGGGAAAATTTTATTTCCTCTATCTGTTAGTCAGTTTTGTGATAGTTAAGACTGTCTGCTATGGAATATTATTTATTAAAAGTCTGTCTTCTAATATACTCATCAAAAATGCCTTGATAAATGTTTTGATTATCCTCATCAAAAAATTACTATAAGTGCATAAGTAGACACAGACAGGTAATTACTGATGTTTTCTCAAGCACCTTTGTTTGGCAATACTGTAATAATGTGCAAGATTTTCCCCCCTATACCTTTGCTAGATACCTGTTTAAAAATATATATATATATATATATATATATATATATATATATATATATATATATTATATATATATATATATATATTTTTTTTTTTTTTTTGTGAGGCAATCAGGGTTAAGTGATTTGCCCAGGGTCACACAGCTATTAAGTGGCAAGTGTCTGAGGTTGGATTTGAACTGAGGTCTATCCTGACTCCAAGGCTGGAGCTCTATCCACTGAGCCCCCTAGCTTCCCCCTCTTTAATATATTTTGAAGTGTCTCTTTCAATATAGCTTAAGATCCCTCAATGCTCTCGCCATTGTGTCACTGCCAGCACAGATTATATATATTTGATGTAGTTCAGTTTTTACTTGTTTTCTCCAGTGCCAAATCTATTTCCTCAAGAAGGAAATTAAGGACTGTGATGTTCAAAGAATTCAAACACAGAGGGAGTGGAGGGGTTTCCCCATGTCTGATGGTGAGAAAAATTTGTTATGAAAGTATTTTCCATTTCTTATCTGTTAGCTGTTCTCCCATCCAATGTCATCCTTAAAGAAGGATGACTTGACTTAGTTGGTTGTCGTATTTAAAACTTCTCAACATCTAAAGGAGTGAAATTTTAAAATAACTCAAAGGAACAAGCTACATCAACTGATGCAGTACTTTCTTTTTCATCTATAAGGCAAAGAAGTAGAGATAATAGGAAGAAAATTTTTATGTCAAAGTAAAATTAATTTTCAGTTAACACACCTGGTTTAACACTCCTTCTAGTGTTAAAACTTATTTTCCCTCACATTGCTTTTTGCTATTATGAGAGACAATGCTACTTGTCACTTTCTACCATTCTTCTTTACATGATTTCATAAAAAAAAGTTTACATTCCAAACCAGTGTTGTCCTTGGTTGCCATCTCTGTTTTGTGAATATCATTGTTTACTGACTACGGTGGTTTTTAGGCTCTTTTTGTCTCATTAAGGCAACTAATTTATATTAGTAGACTTCTGATTTGTTATGAGTGATGTGAAAGGTCTTTTTGTTTAATCTTAATTAATTTGTTTTATTAGGTCAATAGACCACCCAAAAAATGCCAGAGATGGTAAAACTTGTGATCCAACATCAGAGAAACTAAAGATAAAGAATAAGAAATACATCTTCAGACACAATCAATGTGGACATTTGTTTTCCTTGACCACGTGTTTGTTAGATTTTTTTCTTTTTCCAATGGAGCGGGAGTGAATTGGTGGAGGAAAAAGAGAGGCTAAGTTTAGGGTAGCCAAAACAAAACAAAAACAGAGGATCACTGAAGCATTTTTAAATACAAGAAGAGAACAGAAGGAAGTCTAGAATCACCGACAAGTATCACAGCTTTGAAAGTAGTATGTTGAATTTATTATATATTTAAAAAGAAAAGCAAGTTCTACATAATAGAAAACCGTGATTTCACGTACCTTTTCTATTCTACTATGTATATAAAAATGCCTATTTTATTTGGTGTCTGTTAAGTTTAATATTCAAAATCAAGCAGATCAAATTGGAGTTATTTTAAATGTACTCCATATCTTTTTTCATTTTATTTCCTTCTAGTTTTGTATTAATATCTCCTCTATAAAAAGTTGGTTGTCTTACTGTACAGACAGGTATTCAGTTATTATTTCCATATCTATAAAAATCATGTCTTGTGTGTTAAAATACAATCAATTTCAGTTTTTAGATACTAGTATTCACCATATCTAGTGTTTTCTAATTCTTTTCCTGAAAAGTTTTTGTGATATTTAGGTCTGAGGTATCTGTGTAGTAAATAAAACCTTCTCTTCACTCTCATTCTTTTACCATTGGACCATATGCAGCAGTTCCATATCACAACATATTTTTCCCTGTATTTACCTATGCCAACTTTACACTGAAGACTTTAAGGATCAAAGTATATGTTGATTTAATTGTAGTCTTACAATGATGCTCCTGACTTTTTTTTTAAACTTCTGCTGCCTCCCACTTACTCTCCCTGCCCCCACCCAATAAAGGTCTTCCTTGTAAAATAGTTACAGTCAATCTGAAAACAT